ACACACACAGACACACAGACACACATAGAGACACACACAGACACACACAGAGACACACACACACACACACACACACACACACACACACACACACACACACACACACACACACACACACACACACACACACACACACACACACACACACACACACACACACACACACACACACACACCTGTCGAATGCAGCGGTGCGACAAAATGATATGCTTGCCCTTGTGCGCTTGGATATGTTTCGCACGAAGCGAGGTGACATGATCCGCGACGGCGTGTGCAAGTACTGTTGTTGGAACCGACATTGCCCCATTTCAGTTTCCACTTGCTTACATCTTGGAGATATGGTTCCAAAATGTACATATCGACCCACACTGCTCCATTTCGGCCCTACTGTACGAGCTACGGGGAGTTTGGGTTGCCAACGGGGTGACGGCACGGCGGTGTGAGCATGAACACCAATGGGGTCACGAGCGGAAAAACCATGTGCAGTGTGTCCAAGTGCAGAGTTGTTTTTTTACGCTTAATAACACTTTCCTACCGAACCGTCGGTTCCTTGGAAGTTCCTCGGTGGTTCCTTGCATAACGAGGGCCCCGTACCTTTGCAGGGATTGTGCGCAGTGAAGTGCAGTGCCCAACCCATCCCAACCCGCTCCACGACACCCCACATCCATAATAGGAGGGTGGTAATTTCAGACCATGCACTCCCGCCCCGTGCCATGCCAAAGCCTGGCCAAAGCTGGCGCACGCAGCGACTAGCAGCCCGAGATAGCCCGAGCATGCGATGAGCACGCATTCCAAACGCACCTTCCTGACTCGCGCCGCATGTGCCCAGCCATGCAGGAGGCAAACGCTCGCGCGGCGCGGGTGCCCGTGCCATGCGCCATTCGAATAGGCGATCACCAGCTGCCTGGGCGACTTCCGCGTGCTATCGAGCCGTCGCATGTCGCGAGCGTATGCAGTGAAACCTGCGCGCGGGCCGCTTCTTGCGATCAGTTGGTTGGCTCGCTGACGTAATCTGATGTGCGAGTTGCGGATGAGCCGCGGATCGAGGTGCATCAAAAGCCGAACACCCGAAGGAGTGAACCTGGACCTGGCCCAAGCCCAGACTTGAAAGCCAAAAAAATTGAGCCCCGAGCCTGAAGCGAGCCGAACCTAAAGACTCGAAAGTGTAACCGCAATGCCGAAAACCAATGCTCAGTCAAAGCCCGTAAGGAACGAACCCAGTCGACGTAATGAGTAAATTGACACCAGCGCAGCTTACCCGAAAGGCTCGTCCAAAGTCAAACCACCCACACCCACAAATAAAGACGCCAGAAACGGCCAGCCCAGAACCATCCTGATCATTCCTGATCCAACAAAACTTGGAGCGAACCCAACCCAAGTAGCAATTTTCTCACCGGAAGCCCCTGGGCTTCACTTTCAGTAGGCCCAAACCAGAGTCAAAACAACCCCCAAACGCCACACCAGAAGACGCACGTCCAAGCCTTACAGCGGTGTGAAAGTGTGAAAGCAACAAACATTACGGCGGGAAGCCGGAAACGTGGCCAAGAAAACCGAAACTGCAATCAACGGAGTGCATCTTCCCTGTTGAAACCCAATCGGAAGCCCACAACCCAAATAGAGCGACCACCGAAGGAGTGTGACGAAGTCAGGCCAAACCGGGACAAAAGTGCCACAAGCCGTAAGGTGTCAGGGTGAACCCAACCCAGAATCTAAACCGCGGGCCGAGAAGCCTAAATGTTTGCAAACTGCCTGCCGTCGGGGACCTGCAGTCCGCGTGGCTCCTTTTGCTGTTCTGCGCTTCCCCACGTGCCAACTACTTGCTCCGGATGCTCCCGCCCGGCGCGACGGAGGCTTTTGCGCGTGAGCATGACGCTGCTGTGAGTGCATGCTTAGCGACCTTGCTGTCGCAGGACTCCCGGCCTCCGCAGTCTCTGCCTCAGCAGTCACAGCGCCTCGCACAGCTGCCGTTACAATATGGAGGCCTGGGTGTGCGCTCGGCAGTCGACGCCGCCCCCGCCGCCTACTGGGCATCCTGGGCGGACTGCTTGCCGACCATTCGAGCAAGAGCGCCGCAGGCAGCCGCTCGTTTGGTCCGCGCATTAGAGTCCTCCACCGAGACTGCGCTGCCCCTGTCAGCAGCACGGCACGCAGCCGCTTGCCTCCGAGAGCAGGGGTGCGACGCCCGCCTGGGACTCCCTGCTGCAGGTACGGCCCGCGCCGGAGGAACGCGAGTTTGGGGAGTTTCTACGAGGCTGGCAGCATCGTACTGCCCGCGCCAGCGACAAGCGCGCGCTTGAGGTGCATCTTTCTCACACTGATGCCGCATTTCGAGCACTGCTGCTATCGCAGGCCGGGCCACACGCCGCACGCGCTCTCACAGTCTTCCCGACCTCGGCTGAGTTGACCCACTCTTCCGCGTCCTGCTGTTGCCCCTGCCAGTTGCGCCGCGCACGTGCGCCTGCCGCGGTCGCCTGGACCCGCTCGGTGACCACAGGGCTGCATGTGCGAATGCCGGCGTGCTCGCGTCTCGCGCCCTTCCTCTCGAGCGGGCGGTCGCGAGAGTGTGCCACGAAGCTGGCGCGCGGGTCGCCCGTAACGTCCGCCTCGCAGACATGAACCTCGATGTTCCGGTCTCCGATGACCGCCGCATCGAAGTTGTCGCGAACGGGTTGTCGTTGTGGCATGGCGCGCAGCAGGCTGTTGACGCCACCATCGTCAGCCCTGTGACGCGGGCGGGTGCGGCGCAGCCTGGAGCAGACGTGCGCCCCGGGCGAGCGGTCGATGCAGCCGCCCGACGCAAACGTCACCAGACCTACTGACCTACCCCGAGCTTGTGCGCGCTCGTCGCTGCCGCTTGGTGCGTAGTTGGTGTCGAGGTTGGGGGCCGGTTTGGCGCAGAAGCGGCGACCTGGCTCCGGTTGCTCGCCGGGCAGCGTGCCTCCGACGTGCAGGCTAGTATGCGGGCGGCCGCACGAACGGCGTGGGTTTCCCGTTTGTCGGGGCTCCTCGCAGTCGCAGCACAGCGCGCCGTCGCAGCTTCCCTGTTGGAGCTCCCGCCCGCGGGCGAGTGTAATGTTGCCGGGGAGCCGCCGGATCTGCACGAGGTCCTCGCCGACGTGCGTTGGCAGCTTCCGTCTGTTGGCAGCCGCCAAGGGCCTCGCTAGTGCTCTGGTGTGTGCGCCTCCGTAGGGCCCGGTAGGCACTTCTGCCTGTGACTTTGGGCTGCCGGAAAAAGGTCCGCGAAAAAAAAAAAAAAAACCCACCCAACCCTGTCAGAATGGGAGAATCGTTATTGTGGGCTGTTGCGTCGAAACCAAAAAAGACACAAACGGGAGAGGCATACAGAGGCACAAGTGGCATCCCAAATCAAGCGAACCAGTGATCCACCATCCGTTGCCTTTCATCGGAAAATCAGTCGCAAATTTTTCGATGCATATACAAATGTATCACCTTGTCATGCCCATTTCCCACCTTCCCGAACTGTGTGGTTTGCGCGGTTATGTTGCCGAGGGTTTTATCTTGGACGTTCGCCGTGGTTTGGGACTGTGGAACATCCAACAAAGGCGGCGCGCGACGACAATCGCAAATCATGGCGGCACCGCTCAAGCATCGCAATGCACCGCTCAAGCATCGCAATGCACCGGTTCAAGGCAGCGGTGCCAGCGCACAGTACGCTTGGCACGGTACATTGGTGCATGCCGTCCCCTTGACAAGAGTGACCTGACAGCATCCATCCGGTGTATAGGCGTGGCTAATCGCTGTCATAGGCTGCAATGCTCACACAGAAATATAACATTGCAGATGTGAAACTCAGGATACCACGGGTCAGTGCAGCGTGCCCACGTTTGCAGGCTGGAACACGACACTTTTTTTCACAGTCTGGTCAGTCTAACCTAATTGTAGTCCCGGTGAGCCTGAGCATACTGGTTTGTTGCTCGTCGTTGTGGCCAGCCAGTCTCCCTCCACCAGAATTCTGTTGTCACATGCTGGGCGCAACAAAGCTACCGTAAGCAGGAATGACCAAGTAAACCCACTCTAAGTGCTGGGAGCAACCTTTTGTCAGCGATTTCATGGTGGCGCATTGCAGGTGCGAGCGCTGACTTGCAAAAGGCGGCTCGCTCGCAAACGTGAGATGGTGAAGGCCTGCGAAGCCGCATTCGACATGTCGTGGCTTCAGAGCTTCGGGCGGCAACATATGCAACATGTGGCCCAGGAAGCCGTAACACTTGAGTCACTGCCTTGCTGACATCTGCAGCCAAATGCATATGTCAGGCTTTGTATGTTTATTTGGTGCGCCATGCGGAATCAAAAAACAACAGCGCGGGCCCCAGGTGGTAAGTTCTTACCTGGACGGGTGTGCCCTTTTGGTGTGGCATGATGCCGCCGACCAGGCCGTGAGCTGCACGACCTCCGCTCCTCGGTCAACTTGCCAGCAACACCGTCCGCCAGCACCACCGCGCGGGCGTTTGGCAGAGGAGGCAGAGGGCCGGTTGGCACCAGCAACTTGCCTCTACTGTAGACTCTTGCCAGCCTTGCCAAGAAAGGTGCAGGACAAGGGTGATCCTTTGTACAGAGCCGCGCATTTGACATGCGGATGGTTTGGCATCGACTGCGTGTGTTTTGTGCAATCAGTGAAACCAGTGAAGGTGACAGCGTTGCTGCCGATGTTTTCGCAAAGATCGACGAGGAGGACGACAAGACAGGGCAACAGATGGCCTGATTCTTTGTGCGTTCGTGTGGCGTCATGTGGTACACAAACGCGCGAGTTGCCATGGTTTGCTTTTTCTGTCCACTTCCAGAAGTGTAGAAGAACAGGGCTCACATGTGGGTTTCACATTTCTTTTGCGTACGAGAATCTGAGAATGTGGGGAATCGGGTCGTTTGGCTGGCTTGCTCACAGGCATGTAAGGACACTTGCCCAAGAGTCTCAAGAGTTTCAGGATGTTTCAGGTGTTCTGCTTGCATGTCAGCATTATTCCGAGTTGCAGCTCCCACAAGCCATGGTTGGGCTTCAGATTTTCGCCAGGCCACGTGTGTCACCAGCGGCAAAGGAGGAACAAACTGAGAAGCCATCGGCCTCCGCTCCTAGGGGGCAACCTCCACTTACCGAGGTAGTGGTGCGGGTCTCCACCGGGAGATGGGCCGGCGATCACAAGGCGGTCGTTCTTCAAAAAGGCCGCACCCAGTCGACCCGGAAGAAGTTGACTGCCACTGAGGAGCTTCAGCAGTTGCAAGGAGTGTGGGAATTGAAAGACCTGGTTTCCAAAGGATCCAAGGAGAGGCTTCCTGCCGACAAGGCCGAGGCAAAGATTTACGTTAGAGGTAAGCGCGTGGAAGAAAGCACGGCTGATGGACATCGTCGATTTTTCAATTTGGTGCTTGCAGAAAAAGCTCGTGACCCGACGTGCATGGAGGTGGCATCTAAAGGGGGTTGTGCGAGAGGGACCAAACGACCGCGGCAAGAAGATCTTGCCGGAGACCGCAGAGACAAGCGGCATGCCTTGCCCCCACTGCAGGGCCCACACACGCTGGAGAATGTGAAGAATGTGCGCCAGAAAGCTGCCAAGGCAAAAGGTAAAGGCAAGCAGGCAGGAAAGACGCATGTGCCAGGTCATTGGATGCTGCTCCACCACACCCCCAAATTGCTCATATTGAGGGATGGGTCTTCCGCGGAAGATCCGCTCTGGTGGCATCCAGAGGAGCAGGCAGCATGGTCTCGTGGTGGACACTCGGAAGAAACCCTGACTGTCAGGTGGGCCGTGACAAAAAGTGGCGACAGTTTTGTGTAGGAGCATCCTGCTCGTACAGCATTGCTTGCATCAGTATCTGCGGCAGCTGACTAGAGTGAACGCGTTTGGTTCCAGCCGTTGTGTGTGACACAGACAGTATTGAAAATGCCCCAGGTACACCAACGACGAGCACACAGAAAAGCTTTTGCGACATGCGCATGACCCCCCGCACACTTGGCGCACCAGCAAGGGCGTGGCAGTGATGGTCTTGGCAGCCAAGTCCAAAAGCAAGCACAGGTGAATTCACATCCAGGCCTTTGGCTTTGGTGGAAGAGTTCTCCCCAGCAGCTGCCGGAGTCGGCGCGGGCCACGACGATGACTACAATGACTACAACGGCAAGTGTGGCACTGATGTAGCCCTCCAATCACGAGCCATAGCAGAAATTGTCAGTTGCTACACGTGGCTGTGGGGCTGTGGATGCATTCGATCTTCATCTTGAGCGCCATGCCATTTGGTGAGGGTCAGGACATGGACCCTGCTCAGCAATCTTGTTTCCATGGCTGATCGGCTTCCCCCGCATCAGAGCCTGGCAAACCACAGCAGGTGGCTCATGCAAACGATGCGTTGACGATGGCTCACCCAGCACGTGACGCTGGACTGTTCGGGTTGTTATGTTCATCTATGTCCTACACGTAATCTAGTCCACGTTTCACCGGTCTGCATCCCCATGCCAGATTTGGGTTTGTCGCGTTGGCGGATGTGGCTCAGGCAAAACAGGGCATGCTTCCCTTGCTGTTCATAAAGCGTTGAGTCTATGTCCTGTGTTCGGGGCTCGAGCGTGCCGAGTCAGATGTCAAGCGCAAATTGGGTTCACCTGTGGTCGCTGAGCACGCCCTCCTGCTGTCCCAAGCACGATCTCTCTCAGGCCGAGCAGTCGGTGTCGTTGCTGAGCTCCCCTCGGCCAAGCCTTGCGCCTAGTTTTGCTTGGCGAAGGTTACGGATATCCAGGACAGATCCGCTGTGCCGCGCTTTCAATATTGAACAGATGGCAACTCCATGCAACCGGCCCTGGGTCTGGTGTTCGAGGCCACCCAAGGAATCGTAGCTGCCTACGCACAGCTTGCGTGCATCGCTGAGGTCGAGAGCCTGATCCTGGTTTGACAGGCGGGCCCCTGAGCCAGACGTCATCCTACAGGATTCGGGTCAGGGCTTCGCCAGATTTGGATCGTACATGTACTGGAGCGTGGTCTTGAAGTCGGCGTTTGCAGCAATCGAACTCATCAAATGGCGTGAACGTTGCGAAGTGTATTCAGTATTCAGTCTAGGTGTTGAATGGCATGAGAAGTGCTGGCTCAGATCGCGGCAAATCGCAAGCAGAGGCGGTGGACGAGCCCTCAGTATTCTTGTTGAGTGCAGAAACCTGAACATCCGGACGCTTCGGTGAAGTTCATTGCGACGGAACTCAAAACATGTCAGCTGTCCCACGCACGAGAACGTGTGTCGTTGGTCGGGCAGGGTTGGGAGAAGAGTGCCGTCCTCAAAGCTTGAAGCGACAATACCACACCTCAATAGGGTAGGCACACAAACATGCACAGATTTCGATGTAGGCCCGACGATGTTGTAGACAACTGGACGTTTCAACAGCGTAAAGCGGCAGATACTATACGCAAGACTTCATACGCTACGCAAGGCCCGGCTACTCAGAACAATCCGGGACGACCCCAAGACGGAGCCAAGGCATCGGCTACCAGAGTCGCTGGCTTGCTGTAACTTACATTCCGTCCTCCGTACAGGTTGCAACTTGGGATGTGTTGCATGTGGTCATGATGTAGCAAACTTGCCGGATGAAGGGCCAAGAAAGACCTAGGCAAGGAGAAAGGTGGGTTTCTAGTCTGGGGCCACGCATTGCAACACGAGAAGGCCTCTATCGACGCTTCAAACAGGCCGGATTAACTGTCTAAGGAAGGGGTGCGAGCACAGTCAAGGGGAGTGGAAAACGAGAAGGACAACGACATTATCATGGCTTGCGGCGTAGGGACCGTATTACAGTTACATGATGCAGCGGGTAAAAAGTTTGGCTGGGGAAACCAGGGATAAGTGTGGAAGAGCTCGAGTAGATGTACTGGAAACCAGGGAGTGTTTCAGACATTTCAGACGTCGAAGTCAATGCAGAATTTCGTCTAAGTCTTCATTCCTTGTCATACGGAGCGGTGATGAGTCTGGCATGAGACCTTTTTGCAAACCATGATGCGAGGCTCCTGTGCAGCCATGTCCTGCACTGCACCCCAAAGCTTACTGGGACAGTTTTTCTGTTGTGTTTCTTTTCTCAATCCGCCTCCAGACCATACGGGAACCATCTTCCTGCCAGTGACCATACTATTTGCTTCATACTTGCAGCCCTTCGTCAAATGTTCAAATACTTGATTGTTTTGTATGTGATGTCAGTCGACAGCCGCCACTATTTCAGCAGTCATATCTGTCCGTGCTATTGAGTTCTTTAGGACGTAATATAGACACTGTTGCCACCGGGAGCTGTGATTGATCATCTGCATAGGCATATCCTGTGGACGAACTCCACAGCAGACAGGGCGAAATAGATCATAGCTGGCAGCTAGGACAGCTAGGATTTGGCCCAAACCTTGTTTTACGGAATGGTGTGGGTATGGTATGGTTGGTGGTTTGGAGTAGGAGTTGTGTGATGTGCTTTGGTGTAGATGGTGGCATAGGGCGTCGCGTGATGCTTTGGCTTTGGCCTATTTTCTAGTATAAGCATGGGTGAACATGCCCGACGAATCTACGATGTGAGTCAAGCTGAGATGTGCCGGAATATCTGGCTGTGCCTGCCGCTTCCTGCCGACGGGCTTGTCCAGCAATCCCATCAAACCCTGAGCATGCCTGCTAGTTATTTGTTTCTTGTTGCATCTTTCAGCCATCACAGTCTGATGTTCCACCTTTCGTGCGTCAGGGCGTGCACGCTAGCATTCTGGCTTAAGAAATAGCTCCAAGACCCCGCCTGCTGGCGGTGGTCGCATGGCCGCACGGAGAACGACATGAAGGGTTCTTACATGGCTAGCCTTGTCAATCACACAACGCAGGCTCTGCAAGCATCAAAGGTTGGCCGTATTTGATAATTGCCGGAGCTCGCGGTCGAAGTTTCTGGCCACAGGTGCTGTTTTACTGTATCACGTTGTATCATTTCCGATGCCCACACATCTTTCATCATCTTTCGATCTTCGACACTGAGAGCTGAAGTCGACTGAAAAAATGCGACCGGTACGGTTGAGCTCTGCAGAGGTCTCGCAGAGCCGGGGCATGTGCATGTCATGTGGCGTCAGCTTGCCATAGGTCGCAACAAGGGCATCACCTCAAGCTTCGAACCAAAGGGTCCTTACACGGCGCAACCCCATTCGGAACTCACAGCCGAGGCCGCACGCGCATCCATGGCGGAATGCGCCAACGGCAAGGAGACAGGTACTGAGGAAGCATTGGTTGCGCCGCCTGGCTTCCGATCACAAAGCAGTTGCAGAGTTTAGTCACGCACCATTCATTCAGAAGTTCAGACCTGTTGACAGCAGCCCGCCTTATTGGCTGCAGATGCGCTTCCTGTGCGTCCCCTCTAGACTGTAGGCAGTACACTCAGCTGGACCTGTTCTTTCCGAAAGTTTCGCTCAGAATCAATAATAATTCGAAATCCTTCAACAAGAAAAATCTCCTGTCAACCTGAAGCTTCAGCCAAGAATCCGGCATTTCACCGACTGACCCACCGCCCTACAGCTGTGCTACAGCAGGCTGAAGGGCAAAGACGTCGCAGAGCTGCGGGCCATGGCCCAGCGCCTGGAGACGCTTGATTCCGCGTGAGGCTGGTAAGACAGACTTGATCAAGTTAAGGCAATGTTCAGGCATTTGCAAGCGAGACGATGTACGTGGTGCCTTATTGTAGTCTGATCTTGATCGAAAGCGTTGCGATTCAAGTTCTTTGTTTTGCTGCCACCAAGGAAAGGCCAGGAGTCGCTGCAGGTCGCACCAGCACTTCGTTCGGAGGTTGTCTCAGGCTTTCCGGTTCGAGGTCATGCATCATAAACCCAAGCACAGAACGTCTGTGTGGTTTCGCTTTTGGCATGTCGGGGAATGTTTAAGATGGTTTAGGAATCGGGCAGGCGCCTTTGATGTCGTGACCGGCCCGAATTTGTCAACAAAGCTGCAACTCGAACACGTGCTCCAGGAGATGTTGAAGGACTTGGAGACTGAGCGTGAGGAGCTGCATAAAGAGAAGGCCCGAAGCCAACAGTGTCGAGTATTTTTGCTGGCCAAATACAGTAGTGGGATTGAGACTAATGCTCGCGTTTCCTTGTTTTAAGTGTACGGGAGGGCCGGCAAGCACCAAGAAGCGACGCAATCATGAGCTGCCCCGTCACGGTCAGCACATCTCCGATGCCCACAACATGTGTTCCAGGCACAGCTCAACGACACCATCTCGCTCATTATGAAGGACGTCTGTCTCATGGCCTGCGGATAGACATGAACTGGGAGCTCCCTGTACGACTTAGATTTTTTCATCTTGGCTTCTCGATTGCAGAATGCGACATGGAACCAATCTCAGCTAAAAAGCTCGCAGCCCTGCTCTATGCACCATTGCACTGTGGCAGTGAAACGGATTCGAGCCTGCGCAGGATCTCCAGAAGCTGCACATCGGAGCGCAGAACACCGTAGAACCTGTACCTCGCCATCTGGAAATAGAGACAATTCACCGGCAGCGATTGCCAGCACAACATAGTGTTGCAACCATATTAGTTTCGCGACGAGAAGTTTCTTAGGGGGGTCTTCGCCTCGGTTGACGAAACGATCCGACTGTGAGCAGGTGTCTGCACGTCACCCCAAAAGACCGTGGATCACGTAAATCCTGCGCGCCAACGACAGATTCGCACTTCATGCCCCACCGCGTTTGCAGTCTCTGACTCGTTGGGGCACCACCAGGTTTACCGCCCAGTTTGACCCTCTTTGAGCGTGAAGCTATCAAACCAGGGAACAGGCTGCTTGTTTCAGCACCAGACCACTGTGAAGAACCGGTCCTGCCCCCTGTGGGCTCATTCAGCGTTCTGACCCCTGTGCCCAAAGCCGCCATGACATGCCATGTGTCGTGAATACTTTTAAACGATGCTTCGAGGTGTTGGAAGGATGGGCTGTTGCAATAACAATGACAATGCTAGCATGCTGTCTCCGATTTCCTACTGCAGTTGCAGTCTTGCTGGTGGTGTGTGATGGTCTCGGCGTTACTGGCAACTGGTGAGTCTTAAGCTTGCCACAGCAAGTCTGCAGCATCTCAGATCCCCAGCAGTTCCAAAAGAGGTTCTGGAGGAGGGTCCTCTGGACTTCGTTGGCCGTTTCTGGGCTGCTCGACTGCCTCGGGTCGGTTTGCACAGCTTTCTTTCCACGTCGCTTGAGTCAGTCATCATGTTCAAGCCAAATGTCCAGGCGCAAGCACACGAATTAGCCGATCAGCAGTTGGCCTCTGAGCCCTGACTTGTATCCAAGCAGAGCAGACCACTGAGGAGACGGTGAAGCCGAGGGACAGCGCATACATGGCTGGCGAGCCGCTCCATCGCATGCCAGCTTGTGTCGCACATGCTCGGTTCATTTAATCTGATGTCCAAACGTTTCAGGGATGCTTCCAGAGGACTGATTCGGTTGTTACGGGAAGCATGAGAAAGTGGAGGATCATGTCTCAAGCTGCACCTGAAGCGAAGTGATGCCCAAAGCGTCCGATCGATGAGATCCCCGAAGCATCAAATACGTATAAATACGTGTCGCCTTCCAGGAACATCGGCGAGATCAGGAAGCCTGGGGAGAAGGTGGGCAGTTGTCAGCGTGCTCCTATTGTTGGTATCTACGCATCTACCGGTCCCTTCCCAAAGAATTCATTCTTCAAAGCCATCCTAGCATCCTCAGCTCGCTCAACGCCGTGACCTGAAGACCAATCTTCATCAGCACCCCTCCAACCCCTTCCCTGCCTGTGGACCCCCTTGTTGTGCTACCCAGTACGCTCGTTGCATGTTGCAGGGTCGAGTTTCTGGGAGCCTGGCTCAACGGCATTGCTTGGAATCCTTGGAACGGGCGCAAGCAAGCAAACAAGCTTTGCAGCGGTGTTGCTGTGCAAGACCGAGCTCTACTGATGCGAAGTCCGGAGAAGTAATTGATCTGTCCCATGAGCCGCATTGTAACTATAAGATAACTTAATCATTTTGAGAGTTTGGCTTCGGAGGCTGAGAAGCCTCCCAATGCGCCACTCGCCGCGTTGCAGCACATGCAGCAGGAGGGCCTTGGCAGCTTCAGTTCCCTTGAGATTCCGCAGCGGCGACTCAGGAAAACATAGATACTATTGATGCCCCCTCGCCGTTTGAATGTGAAATCAGAAGATTGGGAATCTCTGAAACGTCGGAGATCCCGAGTGCTAGCCGCTACAGTCGCTAGAGGCGCAGAGCCCCTGAGCCGGGATTGGGCTGCAGCCGTGGGAGCTTGAACAATCAGCCCTCAACAGCAGGAGCTGCCCCAATCCATGCAGGAGGCAGCCAAAGAGGTCACGCAGCATTCTGGGGCTGGGATTTTTCAGAGTCTTTGGATGTCTTTGGGTGTTTCGTTGTGTTGGGAACTATCGGACGGATGTCGGGCTTGCACCTGTGCTGACTGTGGATATGCAATTCTTTCCCTTCTTTTGGCCTCTCACATTTTCCAAGGCTCAGGATGAGCCACGGATTCGAGCCTAGTTGTACGAGTTTGGGGTTTCAGGAGCAGGTTGGACCCGATGGAGTTCATGGCATTGCAGGTCCATGTCGAATGTGTGTCGGCTTCTGTCAAGACTGGGAGTATGCCATCGCCGCATCCAGTAGACCAGCCCTTTGGAATTCTGCCATCCCCAGCCTGGTAGTGGAACACGAGCTCTGGAGATGTGGTCATCAAGAACCCAACTTTCGCCGGTTTTTACTCTTTGGGCCATTGGGGTAAGAGTCCTGCAGCCCAGCCGATCAGGTTCAGGACATGGGCAAGCAGGCCGCCCGCAAGCTGTCCACTGCTTTCGAGGAGACTTGGGGGAGCGGGTGGGTTACGTTCTTTCGGACTTCGCAGAGAAATGATGACAAGTTGCTGGCATAGTGGGTTCCTTTCGGGTACTGTGGCCAGATCCAGTTCAACACGTCAGTCGAAGTGGTACAAGCAGCAGGTTTGTGTTCAAGGCGCCGGTTCAAAGAAAGTGTATCTGCCGGGCGGTTGCAGGAAGCTCGCTCGAGCGCGTGGTGGCAGAAAGCACAGGGCTACCTGGATGAGAAACGGCGGCAAAGCTGCAGAGAGCTAGATGTCCCGAATCCATAGCAGGGCGCGTAGTGTTTAGTCTCAGCTCCTTGACACAATTTGGCTGTTGGCCCGAATTGGCTGCGCAGGTTCTCGAATCTAATATGGTGTCATTGGACAATGTGTTAGCCCAGGACGGAGATCGCGAAGAAGGTCTCCGAAGTCCAAGCAAACGCACAAGCAGCCGCGCAGGCAAAGCTTGCGTTGGGGATAATCGCGATAGCACATGTCGTAAGATGTTTGAGGAATCATTCGTTGTTGAATTCCTGGTAGTAGTACCTGCTTACGTTACTAATGCAAGCAGCAGTGCCTTTCGTGCTCTATGCTGTTGAAAACAGAGGAGGTGCTGCTGCGCAAGATCGTCGCTCTTTCCAACTTAATAGGTTTGGCCCACGTCTCTGAAAGCCACAATCACTCCTCGTAAGCTGCTGAGAAAGCGTGTCCGGATCGGTTCTTACTTCGTGGATGCGATCGCCTTCCCGGATCCTTCACCCTTCACAATCGTGTGCCCCCATGGCTAGAGTTGGCTGCTATATAGTTCGTGCAGAGCAGGCGTGGGTGTCTCACCGTCACCATCCTCTGCCCAAGTGTCTGCAATCTATGTGCGACGTTGCAGTGTTTCGCAATTTAGGGCATGCTTGGTGTTTCAAACGAAACCATATTCTGGGGCAGGTGACTGCCACATCTGTGAACAATTGTTTATACACACGTACCACTGCGACGACGGCTTGGCCGAAGTCGCAGATGCCCTAGTGGCCATCATGCAGCAAACCAAGGAAAACTACGGCCTGCATATGTTCAGGCCATGTCGCGTTCCCTGCCGAATGTGTTTGAGATATGAGGACGAAACCTGTGTGAGTCATTGCCGATGTGAAAGACAAATACATGAAACCCGAACGATGGACTGCAATCTTCAACACGTTTCCAAAAGGCTTCGTCCATGCCTCCACGCCGCCCGGCTGCCTTGAACAGGGATCTGATTTTGGACACGGGCTTTTTGGCGTGTGATAGCTCGGATCCCCATTTCCGGGATTACGAGCAGAGACTGCCGCCCTAATCGCCCTACGGATTTCTGTGGATTAAACTCGCGTTTGGGAGCCAACCTTCTTCGGCCTTTTTGCTTTGCTGTCTTGAGTCAGTCTTTTTGCTTTGGCCGCTTTGGCGCTGGTTCCTGTCTGCAAAGCCGAGGAAGGCCGAGGAGAGAGCCGAAGGCTGCCGCGGGCTCGGGGGGCTTCGGATGAACTCTTTTGCCGTTCCTTGTTGCATGAGACATCGCGTCTCACTCTGCCGGCATGCAAGAAAGCCGAGGCACCTGCCGCAGAGCCTACGCAAAACGGGCCCAGCCCAGCCGCTTTGCCGCCCAGAATCTGGTGTTTGTGCTCGGTCGAAAACCACAGTATAAGACGCAGATATGCCATGGAGCTGAGTCGGTGTGAGGCAACGACATTTGATACTACACAACCTACCATCTGCATTAAACCTCTACAAGGCAAAGCTCTCGGAGCATTCCAAGAAGCGGTGGTTGCATTCGTAAAGGCTGGGAGGCACGCGTAATCTCACAGATCATCGGCTCTTCGCCCCCAAATGCTCGTGAGGCCCACTTTACCCAGAATACCATGAGGGAAGCATGAAGCTTCGTCACGCATGTGCGCCGGGTTATGAATGGTGCCGATCATGTAGTGCACACCGACTGCGCTCCTGCCGTGCTGTTGATGAAGCTGCATATGCGGAATGATGCAGCAGCTTGAGGGTGTTGAAAAAGAGCGAGCACTTACCCAGGTTTGTGGTGTTGCTATGCTCATGATGCGCAACTCGGAACCCGCTACACTACCCGAACCCCCAGCGACAGAAAATGCCTCCGCCCGATCCGCGCCCCTTGCATCACCCGCAGGAGCGCAAACCAAAAGCATTCGACGTTTCCGGGTTGCCGTCAGAGGCTCCGGACGACACTGTCTCCGTCTTCACGACCCTCGACATTCCCATAACGGCACGAATTATCAATACATCCCAAACGAAAAATGCTTGTGACTTTCGCAGAAGACGGGGCGAAGAAGTGTACGACGACAACCATGCCAAAAACGAATGCACAGAGACTGAAGCCCTGCTGAGGCGGAAGCTTCGGAAGCGGCCCCCGCTGCTGCCGACCCACCTGCGGAGGTGTTGGGGGTCTTTTGGGACTTCCATCAGGATTGCAGCCCGAAACCACAACCAAACCTTCAAACCCGCACTAAGACCCATGACCAGCTTACCAAAACGACCCCAACTCTCACCAAGAAGTTGCTGCAGTCACCAAGCTTCCAAACCACAGACTTGGCAAGAACAAGCGGAATACTCGCAGCTGCACAGCGACACAACGGTCGAATCCTTGACAACTCAGCTCCTTCTCAGGATGGTGTCGTGGTGTACCAAGACTCACCGCTAGTGTCCGTAGTGCCGCCTGGGCAAGTCTTGGTCACTCACGAAGCAGACCAGGCTCCTCTAGAAGCCCTTGCAGGCCGATAAGTGTTCGGATGGAAACCCCCAGCAACTGTTTCTTAGCTTGGTACAGCAGCAGAAACATGAAGTCCTAGCCGATGTCCAGCCATGCCCTCAGCTGCAGACGAGCCGTCGGCCAAGGAGACGCAGACGTTACCACCACCTACCCATGCTGCACATTCGTTGAAACGTTTTGAAGCTACTTGCTTTGCATGGTCTTGGCAGGAGCTTCGACAATGGCGGCGACGCAATGCGCGCTTGCATCCTGAGGCATGGCTTCCAGGCTTGTTTCTTCTGAAAGCCACCGCGCCGACATGTCCTTGCATATTCCAGATCTTGACCTTGACACTTGTGCTCCACATGTTGACTTCGGTCAGGGAGAGGAGGCCACTGAGAAGCTTTTGCGGCAGGCCAGCACTCGGAGTGAGGCAACAGACTTCCACCTTTTCGGGTTTAGGCTTTGCTTGCCACTAAACATGTCCTGTGAGCACGAAGCTGGCTGGACATGCGCGCGCTGCAGCTGCGCCGGATCGAAGCGCCAGAGTCTTTGCGCCGCTGGGCTTTCTGATCCGAAAGCACGAATGTAGCGAAGCTTGACGCTTGCAACTTCCAAAACTGCAAGACGCACATCCAGGTACCGGGCGCCACGTTGCAGCACCGTTTCGCCATTGGCGAAGTGGTGAAACGTGGCTTGGAGGCCCGCGATCGCGCTTTTGACAGTCTCTGGCGGCTCATGAATGCGTGATTGCGTCGCTGGACTTGGTGACCTTGGGCTGCAGCCCATCTCTTGTAGGTGACAAGAAATCTGCGTCTTCAACGGTTTCGCAATCTTCAGGACGATGGACTTGCATTTACAGTTGATGAAGGGGGGTTATCAGACTCAGAACATCTAAAGAATTTCAATGTACTCCTGCTACAAGTAGTGTCAGGGTTGAGGTTTCAGGAATCAGGGTTTAGGTGAGGTGAGGTCAGGTGAGGTTAAGCCAGGCAAATCAGGTCAGATCAGATCAGGTCAGGTGAGATCGTATCAGATTCAAAAAACCGCGACTCAGATCAGACAGTCCAGGTCACAGCAAGTCAGGTCAGGTCAGGTCAGGTCTGCTCAGGTCAGCTTATAGGTCAGCTCAGGTCAGGTCAGTGCCGGTCAGATCAGATCCTTGTCGTGCGTGCTCTTCCGAGGTGACCGGGAATGGAAGTTCCGGAGGACAAATTCATTGACGTTTGTGTTTGCTCCTGTATCCACATCCGGTCCAAGGTTCGTAGCCTTTGGTCGATAAAGCACAGTCGGTCGAGAACGTCGGCAGTGTAGATTCCAGAGATACTTGACACCTCTGTTCGCGAGTGGAATCGTTCATGGCAAGGACCGCCGGACATGCAATGCTCTGCGGGCCGAGCGAGCAAAAAAAGTTGGCGCACTTGCATTTGTTTTGGTGCAGCCCCCGTCGGCTAGGTGCGTGTTCTGCTCGTTTGGTGCGTGTTTCGGTTGTTTTGGTGAGCGTTAATTTCTGCAACCCTTACATCAGGCCCACACCACTTCGCCAGGGTTCTTGTGTAACAGGGGGCATCCTTGTAAAGCTGCCAAGCGACATGCAGGACTGCCCCTTTTGCATAAAAGGTCAGGCTTGCAACAGGAACCATCCTTGGCAAGAAACTGATCAGCCCTGTTGTGTTTGTAGAAGTGATGCAGCAGAGGGTCGACATCTTGTTGATTCATTCTTGATTCATGGCCATGTCCGTCTGCACAACAACTCATGGCAGCTGTCTCCATGAGCGATTTGACTGAAGGGTTTCCATGCACTGACTACCCGTGGTTAGAACACCGCTCCTGAAAGCACCCGGCAGGCCAGCTCGCCAGCAAAGCCAAAGACGCCAGCCGACAAACCAGCAGAGAAGCCAGCAGAAGTTCCTGCAGCGGAGCAGGTCATGCATGGGCAATGGATTTCCCTAGCAAACTCTACCTTTTGGCTTGGGCGCAAGTCGTTTTGGGCACCGTTTCGCAGACAAAGTAGGCCTTGCAAGGAGGATTGCCCCAAGGGCCCCAAGTATCGAGAGAACGAAGCCCTACTGTGCGACGTTGACACCTCCCTTCTTCGCTATGATAGTACGATTCCTTGCTTGGGTCCGAACTCCAAGACTGTGTTCATGTAGGCATCACCCGCAGCAGGGGTTTGGGACAGTGATAAAGCGTTCTGTTGGGATCGGGGTTCAGGCCGCATGCCATGCCTAAAGGATACACAGGCGAAAACGGCATGTTTGTTCTCATCCACCCCAGATGGCAGAAATATTCCTGGGGCGAAGCCTGAATAATATGTGAGTCTCCTGGCGTAGGTGTTTTGTGCGAAAGTTTGGTTTCAAACCATAAACTTTCAGGCCTCTTGCTCAGAGCCTCGTGTGCCAGGCCGATCCCAGCCCAACTGCCAAAAGTCCGGCAGCGGACCGGCAGGAGCAAAGACCGATTCTTTTCGGCTGCAAGGGTAATGCCGGAGCGGTGCCCTTTTTTGCACGTCCCGCTGCAAACTCCGACGCTCCGGTACCAATGGACTCACATGAGTGCCTAAGGCTAGGTTCTGATCTGCAAACTCCCGCAGGCAGTCTTCGAAAACTAGTTTCTGCAGAAATTGTGGGGCGCTGATTCAATCGTTTTGAAGCCGTTGAGCGGTGTTGCAGAATGAGAGAGCAGTGTCGCAGCAAGAACTCCACTTGTGCTTCCCGCTGATTTTGCTTTTGTACGGCAGTTGGTAGTTTGCTCTCTCAGACCTCAGTGTTGTTTGACCTGCCTGGATCCTGGATGGAAGCAAGTCCAAGTTTGTCAGCATGCGATTATTCGCGTGATTTCGCGTGCGCGCACGCACGGGGTGATGGGATCCAAATTGCCACGCGAAGGAGACAATCCTCGTACAGGCCCAGGCGAGCTGCCCATTTCTCCCTCCAGCCTATGATGTTAGAAGTGCCTTGCAACATCGAAGACCTTGTCCAAACCCTTTGTATTTCACCACCTCCGATCTTTAGATTGCGTAGGTGCCAAGATCTTTCTTTGCACGGGCTGTTCGCTGCATCCAGCTTTCGGGCTCGCCGAATTTCCCATCTCCCCCATGAATTCAAGCAGATTTTCGCAGGTCAAGATCGGGGACGGAAGTGTTCAGCCGCTCCACGTGGCTTGGGCTGGCAACTCTGAGAGGGTTTGGGTTTTTCGGCTACAGGAGGTCGGGAAGGTTTCGAGTCCTCTGAAGCCCACAGTGGGCAAGGCGATGCAGACTGCAAAGCCCTGTTCTTTTCAAGGTGCGGGCCTCCGACAGATGCATCTGGGCTGCATGCCGGTTGTTCCTTTTTCAGATTTCAGAGCCGAAGCTGCTGTCTCCATGCCTGCTTCGTCCTCTGCGGCCCTCGGCTCCCTTTTTCAGGTTCCTTGCACCTTGCAGTCCGGACTGACTTTCCTCCTGGTCGCACGTTTGAACTTCCAGTTTGCCTGCCGGTGCCAGAGCCAATTCTCAACATCCCTGACCCGACAAGACACATCCATTCGCCGGTTGAAGGTTTGCTTCCACAGGACATCGGAATTTCGAGTAACATGAAGTTGTGAAGCCCCACCCAATTCCCGCCCGCCCTGCCAACGTGCATCTTGCCAGCGATTGACTTCCTTCCAGCATGGTCCTTCACTGCCAAGTTGAGGGTTCACAGGATTGGAAAGCAAGCCGGTGCTATGTCCTTCGGTTTCTGAAACTGATGGCCTAACCAACCAAATGCCGAGGTAAGGATGCTGCAGAGCGGTTCGTGGCAGAGCACTCTTTAAAGGCAGCCCGGCTGACAGGGTTGCAGAGAACGTCAACATACGTCAACCACCTTTGGAGCCCCCGGAACCGTGAACCACGGTCTATCGGCAAAGCAGAAGAAGGCGTGAGACATGCTAAGACATGCCCTACCTTCCCGGCCCGGAGTGCCAGGCATCTTTTGTGAACCTCAGCTGCAAATTAGAGGCAGACTTGTGCTGCACAACGCTGCAGTATGAGAGTGGTCGATCTCATGCTTTCGTGGTAGTGCTTTCACCTTGCAGTTTCCAGGGCAAGGGACTGCCTGTCTTCGGAGCATGCCGACAATGCTGACTCGTCGTATCTCGTCGTGGCCAGTGAGCTTGGAGTGGTGAAGAAACTTCCGGAGCTGCAAGTCCAGAGAAATTGACTGAAATTTCGAAACTTGCAGACCAGAGAAGTCAAGTTCTTTCCCTCGACAACCTAAAATACCTTCTGCCGTGTTGCGACGCCCGATAGAGAATGCATGCGTGCATGTTTGGACTTCTCAGAGATGGTGTTTTTTTGCCGGCTGATGGCGCAGTCCCCGAATCCTGGCCTTGCAGCCGATGACACTGGGCTAATAATGTGGAGCACCGCTTGCCCCGCTACAAGGAAGCCGCTCACAGACTTCCTGAAGCCCTCTGGCTGTGTTAGTCAGGGTTCGGAGTGCTTCGAGGATCTTCGAGGTTGAGGAGTGGTGCAGGATCCCGCAGTTTGCGCCACTCCGCTTACACATTCCCTTCTGCCCTTCGTTTTGGCTCCAAGCTCGATTTGAAGCTGCGGATACAGGCTTGCGGCTAATGTAACTGCAATCTATTGAGAGCAGCTGCCACGGTTGGAACCATCGGGAGCCTCGAGGCTCGCAAGACGTACCGTGGCTTCCGGGCCAGGAAATTCTGCACAAGTATCTCAATCACATTGGATTTCCGGGGCGAGTGTCGCTCGACATCCCAATACATCCCACCTGTCAGTTTTGAAGCTGTGCGTTTCTGTTTTTTCCCCTAACAACGGTTTAAAAACGCCGCTACGTTTTGCACAGCTCCGCAGGCCGAGTGCTCTATGAACACTTGGCGACGGAATCCTGCTGCTGTTCTCTATGCACAGCCATCCAATAGCCCAGGAAGGTCGAGCGTGATGCCGACACGTTCCCGGTTCACGTGGAGGCGCTGCTTTCGTGTAACGCCTGCTCAGAGGGTCCAACGGCAAAGGATGGCAAAGGTGTACAAAAAGTCGTGAAGGGAAATGAAGCCAACACCGGCATCGGGCTTGCTATGTCTTCGAGAGGCTCTGGGAGTCGTGCCACGATCTGGTTCAATGGGTCGTAGAGAGAGGCTCCTGCCGGACCCCAATCGTTAGAATGCCTTGTATGGTTCGGCACTAATTTAGGCGCGAACGTCGAACGAAGCCGAAAAGTTGTAGCACTGCTGAAACCGTGTGCGTTTCAGCTTGGCTCTTCAAGCTGCTCTCCTGGGGTCAAGCAGTTGTGCTTTTGTTCCAAGTTTAGGAGATTATGGGATGTTTTGATGGAAGTGCTGTCAATACGGCGGCTTCCGCTAAAAGGTGGACCTCTTGGAGCTGGGTCCTGGGCACTAGGCACTGGAGGGCCTGGGCTTGATAGGGTCTCCTGCTCCACGCACTGCAAGGCATCCGGGCTTCGGCTTCTGCGTGGCAGTAGTAGGGAGTGACAAGCTTTTGCTGCTTACGATCTGCGGGGCTCAATGGCAGGTGGTTGAAGACTAGTTGCAGGCTTGATGGCTCCGGAGAAAGCAATTCCTGAATGGGAGTCCTTCTGCGCTGCCCCAATCCCATGATGCCTTGAGTTCAGACTTGTCACGCTGCCCTGCCAGTGGCTGCAGTTGCGCTTGGATACAGTTTTTTTTCTAGTGTTTCTTGGTTTCGACCACGGGGAAGCATCGACACGACAGGCTCCGCAGAGGGCACCCGGCCTGCAAGAGGCTCTGCAGTGAGTGCAACAGCCGACCAAACCAAGCTCTTGCAAAGGCCATACACATCAGTTCCATTTGTTTGGTGGGCATGCACATGGGCATGCGAGACCTGTTCACCTCAACCGCCTCGAGCAGCACTGTGCCTAACGGGCGTAGCTGGCAGCCTAAAGTGCGGCCTAACACTTTGACCAAAGCCCCAACTCTACATGCCCCACATGATTCGAACGGCTGAGATCCCGCTGACCCTCCGCAATCAACTCCGCTTTCATTGCACGGCTAGCGTTTCTTACCTGGCTGATGTCAGCGGAGGCTTGTCGCAGCGGAAGGAACGTGCAAGCGGTGACTTTTTTTGCTAGAATGCTCACAACTGATCTATGGTGTTGGCTTTGAGTCGTGAGGGTAGCTGAACTGGGCTTCGGTTGCAGTGTTTCAGTGACGGTCCCGTCGAGGCCGGGGCTACGCTTAGATTAGAGCAATAGGTATTCCACCGTTATCATTTGCGATGCGCTTTGCATTCTTGAGCAGGGCTAAGCCTAAGCCGCAAACCTCAGCCACCTTCTTTCGTACCGCTCCTTCCATCCTGCCAAGCCGCTTCTGGCGAAATCCCAGTCATTCTAGATATGCAGAGCAGATCCTGCCGCTGCTTGGCCCGGAGGGACCCAGTTCTCGTTACGAAAAACGTTGCCTGAAGTGAGTTCTCACCTGCAAGTGCTGAACAAGCCACACTCCTAAGCAGTCAAGACTTGCTTGTATTGAGCAGCAGAGTGGTGTCTCCAACGCCGGCATTGCTGCGTGTTAGAGATTGGAGACTGACCCTGCCTTGAACTGTTTTATCGCCAGTCTAATTAATGGATTGGATTCTAGCAGCACCGGACGTGGACCAAGTTCTTGAAACCAGATTCACATCTAATCATATCTAATCGTTCCCAAGCAAAACTGCTGAGAGGAGCACGGGTTATGCCCGATCCGGTCTCCTCCGGACTTGGGAGTCTAGTACAAATCTGAACTGGCAGAGTCGGCAACATAAAGAGAGGAGTGGGACCCCTGTCTCCTTTCGCTAGTTCTGGCTCCACTTTCGGATCAGTGATAAGAGAACATGAGTAGTTTAGACTTCCGCGACCAAAAACCAGGCCTAGGCGGGCGGGGTCTGTGCTTCATGAACGCAAAGAGCTTAGTTCGGCGCAGTAAAACTAATTCGACGCACCAGCGTTGCTGCAAGACGGGACCCCCCGACCATGTGTTGTCGTCAACCTTCACCAATGGCTTAGACTTGTGGACACCGTCAGCACCACGACATCTAGTCAGTCAGTCTATCCTTCACTGCAAGGGGAGCTTGCCCGCTAAATAGTAGTTTGTGAAGCCTCGTCCGAGGAACAGCAGCAATGCAAGCAAAAGCTGCCTCCCGTTGCTTCGCCATCTTGGGCAGTAGTTACACCTGCGTACCAAATCAGCTGCTGGCTTTTTCTCTGTGCATGTCGCTACGAGGCTGCAACCGCGACTGCTCTTCACCTCCGGATTTCTCAGAGCCCTTGAGCCGGGGGGCTCGGAGATGGGATAGGACTTGAATCGACGTTTGGGAAGTACTGCGAGTGGACGACTTGCAGGCTTCGCGGATCTTCGCGGTTTATCGCTTCACGATTTCGTGCTCTAAGCTTGAATTGTGCCGTTTGCACGCACCTTCTAACATTGGATGAGGGCGTTGCTCAAAGGTGCTTGATGCGTTCAATTATACTTGCATAAAATGGAGGAGAGGTTCTCCGGCGGACTGAAGCCCGAAGAAAGATTACCTTGCATTCAAGCCAGAAGACGTGCTGTGCAAACTCATGTGACGTGCTGGATGCCGGTCCGACCCTGCCCGGCCCAAGGACATGCTATCCGATAGCGGAGAGTTTGCAGACGGCCCCAGAACTACACTCGGATCTCCACGAGGCTGCATGCAATTGGCTGGGTCTCACTCCTTGAGTCGTTGACTTTGTTATTCTCGAGTCGCTCATACGACCCCAGTGTCAAGTCAACTGCATTGACTTCATACATCCTGTCAATTTGCCTTTGTCTCCCCGTCAGGAGGGGGGCGTTTTCGAAGGACCAAGGAGAGGAGTTCGGCGAGAGTCCTATCCAATGCTGTGGCCTCAATGCGGGCGAAGGAGGTAAGTAGATCAGCCAGAGCTTGTCGGTGCAAGAAGCAGATGAGTCCAGGCACCATGGTCTCAATGCGGAACGAATGCGTCAGGGCCTTGTTACTACATGTCGCGGCAGAAGCTTGCTCATCCCAGAACTTTACATTGGGGCCTCCTTCGTTGTAGTTTCGGCAATTGCGTCATCCGGACTCTCACAACCCTCGCAGGTGAAGTTCTTCCCTCACTCAAAGTGACGGAGAGCGTCCCTGAGCAGGGCTGGTGGCCCGGAGGTGGGCACTGCCATGACGCAGCAGGTTCTGAGGTTTGCAGGTTTTGGTTCGAAAGGCTGCTTCAAGAAAGGTTCGACAAGGCTTCTCCGAATGCAGACTCGAAGCATCGCAACGGTTCTTCAACAGCGGAAATGAAGAGGAGTAGAGCAGCCCGCAGCGGCCACTGATCGCGCACATCGATGCCAGCAGCCTCAGAAGCAGGAGGGTCCGTTTGGGATCTACAACTAGCCCTGAGTGCTAAGCGGGCCAGATCAGACAGAGGCGGTTTGCACAGCTGCAATGGCTTGCGTTCATGCTGCTGTTGGTTAGTTTCTTTGTATGAAGTGGGCTAGCAGATTTGCGCAAGCTCAATTTGGCGAAATCGATCTGCGTTTGTCAAAATCCTTTTGTGTGAGACGTTCGTAAGTCTTCAGTCCTGAGAATCTTACAAATTGCAGCTTTATTCGAGCTCCGTCCTCAAGCTGGAGCTGCTGAATGCAGCGCTCGAGTCTCAAACAGCAAAGCCTTTGAGGTGCGGAGTGGCTGTGGAAGTTAGCCGAAGAGCAAGGCATCGCACCCAGGACTCGTGATGTGGTGTGCTTGGCCGCCCGGCAGCCATCTCGACGAAATGCAGACTCTGCTAAAACCAACGTCTCACACACACACACACACAACACACACACACAACACACAACACACACAACACACAACACACACAACACACAACACACACACACAACACACACAACACACAACACACAAGACACAACACACAACACACAACACACAAAACACACAACACACAACACACACAACACACACAACACACAACACACAACACACACACACAACACACAAAACACACAACACACACACACAACACACAAAACACGCAACACACAACACACAACACACAACACACAACACACAACACACACAACACACAACACACAACACACAACACACAACACACACAACACACAGCACACAACACACACACACAACACACAACACACAACACACAACACACAACACACACAACACACACACAACACACACAACACACACAACACACACAACACACAACACACACAACACACACAACACACACAACACACACAACACACAACACACAACACACACACACACACACACACACACACCCACACACACCCGCACCCGCACCCGCACCCGCACCCACACCCACACCCACACCCACACCCATGCACACCCACACCCACACCCACACCCACACCCACACCCACACCCACAAACACACCCACACACACACACCCACACACACACCCACACACACACACACACACACCCACACACACACCCACACACACACCCACACACACAACACACACACACACACACACACACACACACACACACACACACACACACACACACCACACACACACACACACACACACACACACACACACACACACACCACACACACACACACACACACACACACACACACACACCCACACACACACACACACACACACACACACACACACACACACACACACACACACACACACACACACACACACACACACACACACACACACACACCCACACACACACCCACCCACACACCCACCCACACACCCACCCACACACCCACCCACACACCCACCCACACACCCACCCACACCCACACCCACACCCACACCCACACCCACACCCACACCCACACCCACACCCACACCCACACCCACACCCACACCCACACCCACACCCACACCCACACCCACACCCACACCCACCCACCGCCACCCACCCCCACCCACCCCCACCCACCCCCACGCACCCACACACCCACGCACCCACCCACCCACCCACCCACCCACCTACGCACCCACGCACCCACGCACCCACCCACCCACCCACCCACCCACCCACCCACCCACGCACCCGCACGCACGGCACGGCACGCACGCACGCACGCACCGACCGTCTTTTACGGAGATGCAGTGCGGTAGCCCGCTAGCTTCCAGCTTCAACAATGCGGGGCGGTGCTGAAGGGCCGGTTTGAAGGCCTTGATTTCGTTTGTGTCTCATTCAGACACAGACCCCGCCGGACGGCTCGGACAGAGGCTTGGGCTCCGTCGCTGTGACATCCGTGAAGTTCAGCATGTGATCTCGGCTTTTGAACTTGTTACCCAGGCGCAGAAGAAAGCCGGAGTAGCGAAAGTCCTGGGGCCGCCCGTCACTCAGTTTGATGCCGCCAGAGGATCCGGGCTTGCAGTGGAGAGGGCTGAGGCGGCTGAGGCTGAGGACGACGGGTTTTGTTTCTCATTTTGACAGCTTCCAAGCAAGGGGACTGCCCCTTCTTCTGGCCCCGGAGCAAAGCAAAGCAAAGCGAGGTTTAAGGGTGGCACTTGTGGCCTAGATTGTTCGGATTTGCTTGGGTCAGATCATAGGTCTGAAGCATGTTTGACACTGCCTCATTCTTCCTTCCTTCTCTCCGCTTCTGCAGGGGCCACTCTTTCTCGACCCAGGCGCCCTGTCCCTTTCCTCCGCCATACCTGTTCCGACGCAATGGCGGCCCTTCACGGAAGAAGAAATGTGCATCACCGTGACCACTCATTGGAAATGCAGGCAGGCGACAGGGCGACAGACATAGCGCTAAAAGCTTCTCGAGATATGTTCGATGATCCGGGCTGGCAGCCAACAATCACAGAGCTGCTTCATGAGAGCTTTTGTCGGGGGGAGATGCCGACTGGGTCGCGGAAGGGGCATCGGTTCTACTCTCGCGAACACTGCTCGCTCAGCTTTGGTCAGAAGCCCGGCCCATCACTTTGTCAAGCTCGATACTCAAGCGACTCTCCCAACTGCTTCTACTTAAGGGTAGACTTGCACAGAGGGTGCCAGTCGCAACAAACAAGGAGTGGAAGCTGGCCAGAGTAGCCCACAAATGGAAGACTACCTCATGCGCATCAGGGGCGATATGGACTATGGCTCCGGCTTCTCGAAGCCAGAGCTCAATTTTTTGCGTCAACGGGCAAAAAGAATCTATCGCGCAGACAAACGGCGTTTGCCAGGGAAGCCCGGAAAGCCCTGTGCTGTTCTCCGCAGCAGGACCAGCCCGCCCGGCAACGACAGACTGCAGAGCGCAGTCAAAGTAAGCGCTAATACCCAAGACCTGTCGCATCCGCCCGCCAGTTTCCCTCCTGAGATGCCGCCAGCAGCTCGTATGGTCCTATCCCTTATGCAGGGGAAATGATGAGGGAGTGTGGAGAGGCGCATCCACAAAACCCTGGGCGGGCGGACACCCCAAGCAAAGCGCCAGCACCGAGCACCCGCCTGATATTCAGACTGGTGGGCGAATGGGTAGGTGTTCGGACAAGCGCGTACGCTTTCGGCTGATCAACGTCGATGATGGCGCCCCAAGTGGCAATTCGGATGAGCTTCAGATGAGTAGGGGTGATTCCCTGATGTTGCAGTGGCGAGGCACCGGGGGCATGTCGCGCATAAGGCACAGGCAACCGAATGAATTCGGGGGTGCCCAGACTTACAGCCCAAAGCTCGTCCACCACGACCACCGCTCAGCAAGTTCGAAAGTGACTGGCCAAGTGAAGACCCGAACCCCACTGAAAGGACCGAGTTAATGCAGAGGTCCAACACGGTGACCCAATGGACACTGTGGACCAACGGGGGAGACCCTGACACATCGCTTAACTCCGAGCCCAGGTCGTCTGTGTCACCCATGGCCTCTTCATGGATCGGCTGCTGAAGGCACGCTGAACTTGCCGGGCTTGGCCAAGCCGTGGCTCCACTGTGCCGCAGGCTTTGGCAGGACTAGATCCTCATTTGGGCCGGCATCTGAGCTTGCCCACAAAGTCTCCTGGCGCTAGGGATCGGCTTTGGGCTTCAGTCATTCGTGTCAACGATGTTTGGGCCTTGCTGTTTCGTGCACCTCCACTTAATGCCGCCGGTAGAACTGTCAGTATATTTGTGCTTCCAACGAGACATCGGGTCAGAGCATGCTGGGGAATTTGAATGGGAAAGGATTCAGCCTCGGCTGAGGCAGCGTGCTTTTCATGTCTTTCAACTGTGCATACTGGCTGGTCCCTGCCTGAGCGCGTTTCTTATTGCGTGCGGCGGTCCTGTTGTTGCACCAGCATTTGGGCCTCATCATATGTTATGGCTGACGGGGCTTGCAGTCGCATGGGAACCGCAACCAACCAGCAGAGTTTGCGCGGCAGATGTTCGTGTCGTGTGATTAGGCTACAGTATTCAGGTGGGCTCAAGGTCTGGTCCGAGTAGTCAGTGAAAAGGCTGCAGTCCAGCTCGAACACATCAGGCCCATCGGCACCGGCTGTCGCATGAGGCCTAAGGGCGTGCCCCTCTTGTTGCCTCGCAGACCAGGTGCAGTTGCGCCTCAACCACGACGAACACACTCCAAGGACACAGCTGATCGGGCACATTGGCACAGATGCGTGGACAAGATAGGATGGGCCCTTCATTCATGCTTTCTCGTTACCGCCAGCAAGAACGCCTCTTGAAATTTGGCAGCTACCCTTGTCAGCACAGCAGGCGCGCCTCACGCAAATTCCCAGTTGTCGGAGGATAGCTGTCATGGCAGCGTGCAATGTCGTCGACCATGCCTGGCCCTCACTACAAATCAGGGATGCATCATTTCGGAGTCTTGGATGGTGGTCGAGGATACACGCGGATCTGCAGGTTCGGTCTCAGTAGCCTTTCTCTGCGACTCGGCATCCCTTGCCCAGTACCCCTCAACTTCTCTTTTATGTTGGGCGTCTCAGCATGTTCGAAATCACAACGGGCCTTAATGCACCAGCTCACGAGCACTATCTCAGGTGCCTATGTCAATCAGGACCGGGTGCCTACCCCAGTTCCAGCGGACTCCCGACTCCAGCCTGTCTTCCAGACATCGGCTTGTCCAGGGAGTGACGGGTTTGAGGAGTCTAGTCATCTAGTCGCAAACAGCTCTCGCGAAGCTAGTATCATTTGCATTGGGTGCTGCTGCTTGTTGACAGAGCTCGACTCGAACACGGACTAGTCGCAGCCGAAGTCCCGGCACCGCATGCAGAAGAGCGAGACGAGTAGTGACAACGGGAGTGGGTTTCTTCCCTGCAGCTCTATGCTGGTGCCAAGGCACAGCATGTGTGGCATCTCCCACTGCCAACCTTCGAACCTTGCCCTGCAAGGAGTTTTGGATAGTTGCGGTTTGCACATGAGCAGGCTGGGAAGTGAGGCTTTCATGTTCCACTTATGTCAGCGATGCTGTGCGCACTAACACACAGCACCAACCCACTCAACCATAAGGTATGCTGCAAGCTGATGGGCAACAAGTGACCAGCGCTGGTCCTGGTGATTGATTCTCGGGAGCAAGGAAACGCTCGGTTTGTTTTAACACCAAGGGATGAAGCGCATAGTCACTTCGTCTGTGTGCCGTACTTGTAAGCGGGAGGCTGACTTTCCCCGGCCCTGCATTCACTAGGATGGCATTAGCGCTTTGCGTGATATCTTCCTTGCTCTCCGAGTGACATCCTCGGACTTTCTCACCCCTTTGCCAAGCTTCTGTCGCTTTGGGAACCTGAATCTGCCGAATGTTCCCAGTGGGCGTAGCAAACAACAGCGAGCAAGAATTGGTACAAGAAGCAGGTCGCAGACACACCACATTCTGCGGGAAACAAGGTCCTGTCGACGTTGAACGAGAAAATCTAGGCAGCTGTCCTGCCCCACCGGCATTTTTTCAGCATCGTTGCCGTTTGATGGCTCAAATTGAAGTCGCACTAGACAAGAAACAGGCAGGTATGTAATGTAGCCTTGTATGATCGCGGGAACATGTGTTTGGACCCTGTTTTCCGAGATTTGCCAGACGCAGTATGATATGCTCAAAGGAAAGAGCCCCAGCGCCAACTTAGAAGGTCGGCATAGAGCCCAGGTGGATGTTGACGGAGAGCAACATAAGTAACACAATATTGAAACCCTTGCCCTGTTATTCACCATTTTCGCGCGACTGTCACGACTGCCTTGCAATTGATGCATCTGCTCCATGCATCTCTCTAGATGCAGGACCCATAGGACCCCGAACTTCTAGTAGGCGAATTTCGTACTACCTGGAGTCCGTATCGCCGACGAGGTTGGCTGGGGATCTTTTCCAGCTTTGCCGACAGAGGCTCCTCTTAGAGCCCTGAATCACGGATGGCCTGGAGAAAGTTGGTCTCGGTTGCATGGTTTGATTACGGAAGCGAAGGCACGGAGTACTGAGTACAAAGAGAGCTCGACACCTGGCTTCTACAGGGCGCGTTTGCGGGATTCCTTAGCTTGAACCGAAGCATGCAATGGCTGTGTGAGATCTTCAACATCGAACCCGGGATTCCAGAAATTTGGCAGGTGATGGAAAAGTTCTTAATACACAAGGCTTTGGAGGTAGATGACAGACAGAGCATGCAAACGTGACAGAAGGCTGAATGTTGCCTTTGGCAGTCGGGCGCTGCGAGACGCTTGCGGGTTGCTCCGAACTGGATGTGCAAGTACTGTTGCATGCGAGACGAACCCCTAGGACCCTAGGACCTAAGAAATGGGAGTTTGAGTTTTGAACGGATCCGAAATATGCGCGATGACAGACGCTCTCCCCGACTTCCGCACCCGAAGCTTAGTCAGAACTGGCGTTGCGGTGCACGCGATCAATGACAACGCATACAACATGTAACCAAGGCGGAATCTTGGACATCTAGTCAGAGAACTCATGTGGCAAGCCTTCAGGGATGTGTTTCATGCCGTCTCTGTTTCGGAAGCACGCCATGGCAACGGGAGCTCCAAGCGTATGACAGTCGGAGTAGAGACTCGGGGCTCCCCGCAGTGCTTGCTGCGGCTGTGGTGCCTGTGCTTTACAATTCAGCGCTGCCTGTCACTGACTGCAACCAGCATGCAAGCGAGCCCTGCTCCCTTTCCAACAAGATGGGTTATGGGTACCCTGACACTCCCAAAAGAGCTCGCATGCTGAGCTTTCCACCACTCACCGAACTTGTTCTTATGCATTTCTGGGTCTCGCCAGGTTGCCGATTCGTGTCGAGTCCCATGTCATCTTAATCGAAAATAATGATCCGGTCCACAATTGTACCAACTTATGCTTTTGCTCGCTCGTCTTGGTTTCTTATGAAAGGTTTGCTAGGCTTCGGGAATATCCCAAATCCTCAGCCTCAGCGCAAGTCACCGGGGCTTGCTGCTGGTGGCGGCGGAAGCCTGGCTGCTTGTCAGGGCTGTCGATCAGCATCTATGCAGTAGAATGCAGTAGACCCCGGCTTGGGGCCCACACACAAAATGAAAGTATGACATGACTACTACACGCTGCGACCGGCTATCCGAAGCCAGCTATATGCCTCGAGTCAGATGTTCTCAGCCTCAATGATGGCCCACCGGCTGTTGATGAAGGCGCACACTCCGCACGGACGGTTTTTGCCGACGGCCTCCCATATTCACAGCATGCCGCGTTCGGCTGCAGTATGTAGCTTAAGTCGGGCGTTTGGAGATCGCATGGACTATGTGTGTTTGGCTGCCCATGCTTGTGCACATATCAGGTGTCGGGCCATTCGGGCTTCGGTTGTGCAGCGCTCGTGTTCTTCTCGTGTTCTTCAACAGCGCACCTAGCAACGGTCAATTTGATTAACACTTCTTCCTGACGGTCGTTTTGGGAGGTGTAATGTGTAATACCTTCGGTAGATACGGTTTTGGAAATAGATCTTGTGAGTCAAGGCGACCGCTCCGATAGCACTAGTAGTTGGCGGTAAGCAAAACAAAGCATTTCCAACCGCAATCGTCAAGCGATCCCTGTCCGTCATTGGTCGCATTGCAGTAGTCTTGAGCGGACCTTGTACTTGGCCATCTTTGACATAGGAGACGCAACTGCTATCCTAGTCGCAACTGCTATTGCTTGATATTGCTTGTCTTGATCGCCAAGACGTTTGAGATTTACTTCTCGTATGTTTTATCTTGAAGAACGATGGGTATCCAGTACATGTCCAAAGTTCCGTTTAGCTAGAAGGCCACCAGACATGATTACAATTGGGCGCTGGCGTCTCGGCATTAACAGCCTAACCCCATGGCATAATGTAACGGCACACACATATAGCAGGCGCGATAGCACTGAGACCAACACTAGTATGAAATGTAGCATGATGTAGCATATAATCGGCCTGTCAGGAATTCGAAGCTGTAGTCGGAAGAGGAGTGACACGCATGGCACAAGTAAATGCACACGCAAACCGTAGCAAGAGTCATGTTTTGTAATGCCAAATGCCGTGATAAAGATACCAGAATATGCAGACAGAAGCCTCAATGCCACTGATAATCAACACGGTTCCCACAAAAGTCAGAAGACTGTCATTGATTCTCATAACGACGAGAGATGACCACAGTGCCAAGCCGCGGCCCAGATACTTCTTGGGGCAAGCATGTGACAGGAACTATTGTAGCAGCAGTATCCAGCGATTGTCATAGATTTCAGAGTAGCGCGTCATAATTAGTGTTACGGACGAAAGGGCATTTGTCCCGCATGGGTGTGGGCCCGCCGCGCTTCCTTTTGTATCGGCATGTTTTCCAAGCCACAACGAAAGCGGAATGCATACAAGTGCAAAAGCGATGTCAAAACGGCAGAAGCGTGCAGCAAAGCAACCAATAAAACGAAAAATACCGAGTGATGCGCGCAATCGCGAAGCAACAGACCAGCAACAACGAGACAGACGAGACAGAAGGAATGAGATGGAATAGCGGCGAACAGATGTCGGGCCATACAACCCTTTGAACCCTGAAATGTGGTAGAGCTGCCATGTGGGAAGGCTTCCAGTAACAAGTGACAGGGAGGACCACCGGCAAGCACCGCCGATCAACCGAGACAGATGCAGCTACGAGTGGATGAAGGGGTTGAGATCAGAGCGCGGGGTTCACGGTGCATTTCGTTCTTCAGAGGCTATGCAACGAGTTCTGCTGTGGACGGAGCGACTTTCGCTGCCACCTCACGCCGAGAAAGATGCAATTGGAATTGGATTTCAGGCAAGTAAGGCTTCAGAGCTGGTGATATCCTTCACGAATGTTGAAGCCAATTCGCACTTCAGGCAAGCCTTAAGTCAAGGCACATATCTATATCCAGCTAGTTACTTGTAGAAGCTTTCTAGCTTTGCTGGCCAATCCAGGTGGTGCTGATCAAAGTACTACCGGTGCATGAAAATCGGCATCCACTGGACAGCTGCTGGCAAAGCTGAGGGATCCTTTCGCAGAACTTTTCGCTGTTCTGGTCTGGTGTGCAATTCAAGAAACCCAATTCCGGTTCACAGTCTTCTGGCTTTGTTCGCTGACGTGCTGAGGCAAACCTGGAAGCTTTTGGTAAGCAACTGGCCGCGCAATTCACATTAAATGCCCTGATGCATGCCGGGACCGCGAAGCCCGTCTCCCGGCTCATAGGGATCATGGACATGGAATGTAGGATACACCAAGCTCTCGGAGGTTGAACGGTAGGGGGCTTCAAACTGAAGAGTATTGGAGTCTTCAGAGGGATGCAAGTCTCAAAGCTTTGCTGTGTGTGGGAACAAATCACTACACTGGCGCAAGTGAAGCCCAGAGGGAGGCCTTTCTTCGGGCTCCCCATGTGAGTACCACCGCACACCGTGCGACACCCCCGCAGATCTGCTCTGCGGCACTTCGCGCTAAACCCTCCAAGCCCGTAGCTCACCACGTTGAACCCTCCACCCAGCCGGTGGTGTGGTGGTGTATTTGAGTTGCCCCATGGCACTGCCTTCGCATCGACCTGGCCAGAAGCATGCAGATGGAGGCACACAAGCCCACCTCAAGAGTTCGTGTTTTCGGTCTTTGGTTGACGATTCAACCTGCATGGACTGTTGGCACAAATACCCCGCTCAAGACAAAGCTGTGCACATATCCTCAAGTACTCCTTGGCTTGGAGTTGCTTCCGGAGCACGAGGAGGAGAGTCCCCTTTAGATGCGGGACTTCTCCGGCTGAATGTGTGGCATGAAGCCAGGGAGGCAGAAGACCACCACTCAGTCAAGAAGCGAATCTCTGTCCTCACGTGGTTAAAAGTGATGATAATCGTTATCCGTAGTGTCTTCGCGAGAATGCCACAATATTCCTCTAAACCTGGCATCGAATCACGACGAGGCATGCCCACGAAGCCGTGGTTGAAGGGCTTGAATCATTTCAGCAGGACTACATCATAGATCTCTCGGAGGAGGAGTTCGGCGAGGAATTCGAGGAGCCTTTTCAGGACGACACGTTTGCGGATGAAGGCCGGCTGTCGCCTGCGTTCGTATCATGGCGCCGCT